TCATGTGCACTTGGCTTAGGGGACTCAACACAGGGGTTGGGTCCGTCTAGGACAGGTGTACCCAAAATAACAGACCATCTTGATGCATCCTATGTGCTACATGTTGCATTTATTCAAGGGTAAAAGGGCCATTTGGCGGACCAATGATAGCTGAGGATAAATGAAAAAAAAAAACAAAGAGAAGAAAAAAAGAAAAAAAGAGAGGGTGAAGTGTGAAGATAAAGCAAGTAGGGCACAGTTATGTTTTTTGTTACATTTTTATTAAGGAAATGACCAAAAAAAACATGAAAAATTCAAAAGATTTTGCACTTTTTCATCACTTTCTAAAAATCAAAAATAAAAAAAAAGGAAAAAGAAAATCCAAAAAGATTTTGCTTGTTTCATCATTTTCAAGGAAAAGACAAAAAATATATTTTTTATAAATTAGTTGTTTTTTTTTAAATTCTCGACCGTATCCAATCTGTCCGAACTATGCATACCTGATTCTCGTCTTACGGGGCGTGATACGTAGACAACCCATATAGGGTCCGATCTACCTAGTAAATCTTAGGTTCTTGGCTTTGCGGGGTCTTAGCCAAATTTTGCACTTCTAGCCACCTTTTGGCCAAATAAGCCAACTTACAAAAATAAATCATGTCTTGCATGTGTCCAGTAGGGAGTATTATTGTCTCACATAGTGTTGGTTTAAAGTTTTCTCATACAGGTATGAGTCTACTTATCGGAGTTTGAGCATGACATACACACCGGGACCATCCATTCAGGAGTTGCTTAAGGAGATTTTTCTTCTAATGTTTTGAGTCTGTTTTTTTTTTATGTTTTCTTTTACCTTCTAGTTTTGTAAAGTAATGTCGAGTCTTTTGTTATTGTATTTACTATTTTTGTATTGGAAAAAAAGTGTGTTATAAATCAAAAATCCAAAAAAAGAGATTTTGCGTTTTTTATTTCCTTTGGAAGTTTTTTTTAGAATACCAATTCTAGAATTAAAAAAAAAAAAATCTTTTGAGGTGTTTCTCCTTAGGAAATTAATATCTAGAACTCCAAACAGAAAATTTTTTCTTTTATATTTCCTTTAGTATATTAGGACTAGAAATTCAAAAAAAAGAGAGAATTTTCTTTTATTCCTCTTTAAAGAGTTTTTTTAAGGTATTAATTTTAAAATTCCAAAAGATTTTCTTTTGAGGTTCTTCTTTGGGAAACTGATGAAAAATGAAAAAAAAAAAACCTTTTATTTTCATTAGAACTTTAGGACATTGTACATAGAAGAAAAAGAAAACAACATGATTTCCTTCCTAAAAAAATAGTCAAAAAATATTTTTCTCTTCTAGGATTTTTCCTTAATAGAGAATTTGTCTCAAAAAGAAAGAAAAAAAAGAGAAAATAAATCCGTTAAGCTTGAGTTTAGAATAGTTTATAAAATATTAAGTCTAGAAAACTCGAAAAAAAAGATATTTGTTTCTTTTATGTCCCTTATCTCGTCAAAGTAGTCATTAAGAAAAAAGAGGACGTCAGTTTATTTACTCTATTCTCGATTTTTCAGAACTACGTAAAGATCTGATTCATGCGGCATCATGATACGTAGGCAACCTACATAGGGTTCGATCGAATCATTTTTTTATTTTATTATGAAAAGAAAAAGAAAAGAAAAGAAAAATAGAAAAAAAAAGAAAAAAAAAAGAAAGATAAAGAAGAAAAAGATGGTGAAATTATGGGATGTGAGAAATCAGAGGGAAGAAAAGAGCGATAATCAGAAAGAAAAAAAGGGGAAGAAAAAGAGCGAGCTAAGAAGTGCGAGGAAAGAAAAGAAAAGAGAAGATTCAAATGGACAAATTGGGATGATGCCAGGTGACCTTATGACCCTCGAAGTCATTCTAGAACCATTAATTGTTGTTATGTGCATTGCACGCCATGTAATTTTTGCTGTTAAATGCCCTAACGCTAATGGGATGACCCCATTTTGTTCCTTCTGATATTTTCATAGCAGAAAGGTGGTTGGTTTGTGGTTCTCGAAGTAGTAACTTCTCTCCACAACATAAAGTCAAAAGGCAATGGCGGACAACAACAAAATTGGGTTGGTTGATACCGGTGCCCGAAAGCAGTTGGTTGAACAGGACACTGGTTTGGCTGATGAGGTAAGGATGTTAAGACAACACATGACGGACATGTATCAGGCCTGGATGACTGGGAAGGCACCACCCCTGCCACCACCTAGCTTCTTAGATTCTACCCTTACCCAAACTCCGGTCATAGTGCCGGATGATCCCCCATACTCTCCAGATCCACCCGTTTATCACAGCTTTCCCAACCATCCTACTAGCTACATCACTCATCCTCCAATTACCTCTCCCCAAAGTTTTCCTCCTGTCATATCCACTATTCCCAACAATGAATATCCACTCAAAGCTCATGATGCCCAATACTACCCTGCAGAGGTTGCCCACAAGGTTCCTGACTCATACAAGAAGAGCCCTCAGGATGAGCTTCATGCTGAAAATGAAAAGGTCACAGGAAAAGAAGGGCGAGAAAAGATATCCAGGAAGCTGAAAAGCATAGAACAGTCCTTAAAGAACATGCAAGGGATAGGAGACCAGGTTAACATGTCTTACAAAGAGTTGTGTATGTTCCCTGACGTTCGCCTGCCCGCGGGGTTTAAAGTGCCAAAGTTTAACTTGTATGATGGGTGTGGAGATCTGGTAGCCCATTTGAGGGGTTATTGCATTGAAATGAGAAGTGTTGGCGAGAAAGATGATTTGTTGATGGTGTATTTCAGTGAGAGCTTGACTGGGGCTGCTTTGGAATGGCATAATCGTCAATATGTCGGTAAGTGGCCTACATTGGGTGACATGGATCAAGATTTTGTTCGATACTTTCAGTACAATATAGACATTGTCCCAGATCGCTTCTCCCTATCTCAGATAAAAAAGAAACCCAAAGAAAGTTTTTAGGGAATTTTGGTTCAGATGGAACGTATAAGTTGCTAGGGATAGTCCTCCCATTGATAGAAAAGATGTTGCTGAGCCCCGCCAATGACAGGATCCAGTGGGCATTCCTGCTAAATGCTTTCAGCCTCAATACCGACCCTATGAATATCCCCAAGCTCCACATAATCCACCCTAGTATTATCCTCCGAACAACGTCAGGCCATCTATCCAACCACTGGGTCATTCCTCATAGCGAGTGCCAGCACCGCATAATGCAATTTTGCCCTCACAACATTTGCAAGCATCCAACAACCCTAGAAAACTGGGGCATGGAGGGAAACAAAGGCAAAGAAATAGTTTCACGCCAATCCAAGAATCCTATACAAGCCTGTTTGGAAAGTTAAAACATTCTGGCCTGATTGAGCCGCTCATCGGCTATACGCCAGACCCATATGCAAAAGGATTTGATCCTACCGTACGGTGTATGTACCACTCTAATGTCCAAGGGCATAGCATCGAAGATTGTCGTTCTTTGAAAAGGGAAGTAGAAAGAATGATTCAAGAAGGGATAATTGTGATCAAGGACAGTGACAAGGAGCATGGGAATTCTCTTGGGAACTTGCTGACTAAAGTTAAGGACATTGAAATTGGTAATGGTCTTGGTATTGTTGATGCAGAAGTCAGTGGCTAAGATGTTGATCTTGGTTATTGTAAAAATGCTCCTTTCTTGGCTAGCCAGGGAAGAGTCTTGGTAGTTTATTTTGTTGTCATTTCTGTTGTCCGGTTTATTTCAGGGTTGTAATCCGGATATTGTCTTGTGGCTCAAACCCTTCTATCCTTTTATTTTGCCTGGTTTATTTAGTCATAGTAACTCGTTTAGTGCTGTCTAGGTTTGTTCCAGGGTTGTAACCCCAGTTTAGTGCTTGTTTTGTTGTTCAAACCCCTTCAACGTTTGTCTAATGCAATTTTATGTTTTCTGTTATTTCTAGTCATTTCTGTTTAGTTCCCTTCTCCTTTATGGTTATCTTCTTGCTCGCTCTAGTGACATGACATGCGCGCATAATTCTAGGCATGGACTTAAAAGTTAGTTTAATCATGAAGCAATGAAACAATTTTGAAGATGATAGGGACATTTGAGGGAAGTAAGTAAAGAGATTTTGAGATCATTTGAAGCCCGAACTGTGTGAAACTGGGGCAGATAATTTGGGAAGTTAAAAGGATGACAAGAATTTATTAAGGGAGAGTGCATCCTGGACGATTTGAAGCAAGCAACTTTGAGTTCAAGTGCATCTCAAGTTACAAGATAAAGTCAATGAAGTTTTCTCCGAATTGGCGGAGGATAACCAGTGTGAAAAGGGAATCACCCAACGAGGGTTCTGTATTTGACAAGGCACAAAAGAAAAGTGGAAAGCATATCAGTAATATCAATGCTTAAGCCGCAAAAGAAATATTGTGCATGATCTTCAATTTTCATTTCAAGTTGCATGCGTTGTACTTGGCATTTTCAGGGATTGGGAGGCCCTTTCAGCTACCAAAACACTTATACCATTTGATACCCTCTTGAGCCTGTACTAGTTTCTTTGACCTCCCCTCTTTTGGAATCAAGTTAGAGTCATAAAAAAAAGTTTATGTCCCAATAGGTTTATTTGAAAAGGTCCATACCAAAAGGAAAATTAAAAAAAAAAAGAAAAAGAAAAATGAAAAATAGAGATAAAAAGGGAAAAGAAAAAAAAGGGGAAAAGAAGGAAAAAGAAAGAAAAGAAAAAAAAGAAGAGAAAAAGAAAAGAAAAATAGCAACAACAAAAGTTGCGAACTACGTTTGACCTGATTCTTGTCACCACAAGATACGTAGGTAGCCTTAGGGTTCGGTCATACAAAAAAAAAAAATTTCATAATCCCACAAAGTCGAGAGTGGGGCGGTCTTTCTTAGTAACTCCATCAAAAGAAAAGGAAAGAAGAGAATCAAATTCCTTTGTTTTAGAAATTAGGGCAAAGTTTTTAGAATGAATTCCAAAAGTTGTAAATAAATTAACCTCGTTGTCTTAGTTATTTTGAGCCTTTATGATATCCTTTCTTTCTAACCCTGTCCAAAAGCCATATTACAGCCCAAAAAGACCTCCCAGATAATCTTTGAGAGTGCCGAGTTAGCCATGCCAGGAGCACATGATATTTTTACCATGGTTGATGCCTTGCCATCTGCAGAATCAGAGAAAATAAGAAGAAAAGAACAAAATGAGAGAGTCTTACTGGTGAAAACCTTCACAGGCACCATAAGGCGATGGTGAGCTGAGAAAAAGAACAAAATGAGAGAGGCTTGATGGTGAAAACTCTTTGGACACCACAAGTCGAATAAGAATCGTGAATCAGATTGGACAATCGGAGCATTGAAGCCCAGTTTCACGGCGAAAAGGTACAACAAGAGTTGAACATCAGACTTGCTTGACAGAATAGGCCATAGGTCCATGTCATGGTCATTAGAGTTGGTATCCACATCTGATAGGTTTCTACTTTGTAGTTTTCTTGTTAGGAATCATCTCTTTCTATCGTCCTTTACTCTGTTACTTTTGTCTTGTTTACTTCCTCTTCCTGAGTCTGTTTGGTCAGAACAAGTGAGAAATGACTTCAAAATTTGCCACCAGCTTTCCAATTGCACAAAACGGGATCTGGCTAGCACATCAAAGTGGCATAAGTCAGGAAAGAACAACGTGCGCACTGAGTTGGTAACAATCAACATGCTTTGGGGTTCATGTGAAATACAAAGGTTTGGTATATATCAATTCATGAACAGTGCAACAGATGGAGGGTTAGGGTGAACGGATCAAAGGTATTTTCTGTGATAAGATTGACAAAGAAAGTGGTTAACCAGTGACAAGCAAGGTCTTCCAAGCAGAAATCAAAGTTATCATGGCAAGTGATGGAGCAATAGACCTCAAGGCCAAGGCCAGTGATTTAAGTCAGGAAAGAACAACATGCGCACTGAGTGGATGGCAATTGACGTGCTTTGGGATTCATGAGAAACACAAAGGTTCAGTACATGTCAATGCAAGAGCACAGTGCAACAAATGAATGGTATTGGGTTTGAACGGATCAGAGGTATTCTCCGTGATAAAGGTGATAGAGAAAAGCGGTCAGTCAATAAACAGGCAAGGTCTTTCGAGTTGAAATCGAAGGAAGTGAAGGAGCAATCGCCCTCAAAGTTCAAGGACACAAACCAACCACCATGTTTAAATTCACAAGTTTTCTTTGATTGAAACAGGGTCAGAAAATTTTATTTGTTTCGGAGAAACCCTCCGTCAGGAAAAGCAAGCACTAGACAGGTTTGACCATAAATTCTCAGGACCATCCTGGAAAATGGGACCTACTTTAAAATTCAAAACAATCATGAGTAGCAAAATCTAGTATAAATGTACCCCAAAGGAATATAAGTTGGCTTCAAAGTTTTCATGCTTGAGATAGGATTCAATTAGGAGTTTTCAAGACCCTCATGAATAATGGGACTTGGCTTTAAGAGTTCTATTAGATAACAAGATTTAGCGGAAGTCATACCTATAGAAGATATAATTTAGATTTAAAACTGTAATTAACTAGGAGTTTTCATGATCCTCCTGGATAATGGGACCTAGCTTTCAAATTCTTAGTGATATTTGGTAACATGATTCAGTTAACACTCACAGATATGCCCAGCTACCAACTGGGGCAGAAAATTTTCGTTGTTTTGTCTATTTTGTTGAAATCAGGAGCCCACCTAGAGAACAAAGCATTTCAAGTATCGGTAATCAGGAGCCCACTTGAAGAACAAAGCAATTCAAGAGTCGGTAATCAGGAGCCCGCCTGGAGAACAAAGCAATTCAAGTGTTGGTAATCAGGAGCCCACCTGGAGAACAAAGCAATTCAAGTGTCGGTAATCAGGAGCCCACCTGAAGAACAAAGCAATTCAAGTGTCGGTAATCAGGAGCCCACCTGGAGAACAAAGCAATTCAAGTGTCGGTAATTAGGAGCCCACCTGGAGAACAAAGCAATTCAAGTGTTGGTAATCAGGAGCCCACCTGGAGAACAAAGCAATTCATGTGTCGGTAATCAGGAGCTCACCTGAAGAACAAAGCAATTCAAGTGTCGGTAATCAGGAGCTCACCTGAAGAACAAAGCAATTCAAGTGTCGGTAATCAGGAGCCCACCTGGAGAACAAAGCAATTCAAGTGTCGGTAATCAGGAGCCCACCTGGAGAACAAAGCAATTCAAGTGTCGGTAATCAGGAGCCCACCTGGAGAACAAAGCAATTCAAGTGTCGGTAATCAGGAGCCCACCTGAAGAACAAAGCAACAATTCAAGTGTTGGTAATCAGGAGCCCACCTGAAGAACAAAGCAACAATTCAAGTGTTGGTAATCAGGAGCCCACCTGCAGAACAAAGCAATAATTCAAGTGTTAGTAATCAGGAGCCCACCTGAAGAACGAAGGGAAGCATCAAAGGAAGACGGTTCGAGTTCAGCAATCGGGCGTCCACCTGGAGAAAAGGAAAAGCGTCTCAGATTACAATTCAAGTAGACAACAAAGGAATTTCCCCTGGAGAATACAAGTCAACAGGGCAACGGGAACTGCAAGATCAAGTTTGAAGATATAGTTAGGATTCTTGTAATGCATAGATCATAGTTTAGTCTGGCTTCTTTTATTTTATCTTGGTGTAATAAGGGGTTCAGTAAGCAGCAGCAGCAGCAACAGTGAAATCACAGCTTCATGGTAGTCCCAGCTACCAAAACTTCTCGAACTACATTGACCTGATTCCTTTATAGCCAAGGATATGTAGGCAACCTCGGAAGCAGGGTGCGGTCAAATCTTTCAAAAAATGCTTTCCACGGAGTATACAAACGGGCAAAAATCGCTCGTATCCGCTCACTTTATCTTTGCACAAAAACTCTTCGTGTTCCCGAGCAAAGAGGGGCAGCTGTGAGCACGTGAATTTTGCCCTATATGAATTACTCCCATAAATTCAAACAAAATAAATTTTTCCTGTTGTTTGCAATTTTGTGGATTTTCGTAGCATTTTTGCTAATTGTTTGCATTTGTCTGTGCACGTTTATTTTATTTAATTCATGAAAAATACAAAAAAATATATTGCATTTGCATTTAGGATTTAATTTTACATTTTTAGATTAATTGGTAAATAGTTTGTTGCATAAAAAGTAGAAAAATCACAAAAAAAAACTCATTTTGCATTTTTCTTAGTTTTGAGTTTCGAATTTTGTAGTTTTTCTTTTAATTTGGTATTTAATTATTGGTAATTGTTATTAAGTAATGAGTCTAATTTGGTAGGGTAATTTGGTTTAATAATTAATTTAGGTTTAAATTTTAATTTGAAAAGAAAAGATTTTGAAATTGAAAAAAAAAAAAGAAAAAAGAAGAAAAGAAAATAAATTGAAAGGAAAGTCTGCTTGGGCCATTCTCTTAATTTACATTCTTCAGGCCCAAGTATCTTACCCAAATACCCGACTAAACGTGTTAGAACCGGCCCAAAACCCATTCCAAAAATCGGCCTGCCCCACCATTAAGCCAAACGACGCCGTTTCGTCCTATCTCATCTCAACCGTTGGATCAACAAGATCCAATGGACCGGAACTGACCCCTCCCCCATATAAAAATGTCCAAAACAGACCACCCCCCTCAGGACCCCCCTGTCTCGTCTCTCTCAACCCTTCACCTCTCAGAGACCAATCGAAACCCTAAGCCGCCGCCCTAACATTCTTGCCCTTTCCAGTGGCCGCGCCACCACCAAATCACCCCAAATCAACACCCCAAACTCCCCTTCATCCCCTCATACCTAATTCATCGCTGTTTCACCTCGAATCTGCCCCGAGCTCCTAAAATCTTAAATCCGAGTTCGACCCCTAAAAGTTCAAAAATCATTTTTCATCGAACTTGGTAGCATGCATGATCATAGGGTGCTGTTCTTCCGAGTTTTGAAGTTTGGATTCAACAAAACTGATGTCGTTCAGTTGTTCTTGACAAAGAACAAGGGATCGACATTAGTTTTGTTAGGTCATTTGTCTTCAGTAGGTTTCGAGTCCTGATTTGGTAAGTTCCCTTCCCCCCCCCCCCCTTTTTGTCTGTTCTTACTTTTACTATTTTATTTCTTTCTTCTCCTTCCCTTTTCGTTGGTTTAGTTTTCTTCTACTAGGCCGGTTGAACTCGACAAATCCTCTAGGTTTAAATTGTATTCTGTTCGTTGTTTTTCTTTTTCCTTTGTGAAAGCTTGTTCTATGTTTTCCTTAGTTGTGTTATTAGCCTGTTTAAAGTTCTGATTTCATATCTCGTTTAGTCACCTAGTTAATTTAATTAGGGTTATTTTGATAACTTGGTTAATTTTCTACTTACTTATGCGTAGTAATCGGTCGATTAGTGTAGGTTTTAATTCTCGAAATCATTCAAGTGTTTGCCCTTTGTTTGTTGACTGATTTGATTCAGCTTATTTTGTTGTTTGGGCTTTGAAGCCATTGCAGACCTCATCCCAAGGGGGTTGGTTTAGGTCATTGGGTCAGAATTGAGCCCATATTTGGTTTAACTATTGGGTCAATTTGACCCATTTAGGTTCCTAGAGTAAAAAACAGGGCTTAAAGGGGTAATTTAGGAACTCTAGGTGGGGGGAATCTCAGTAACTGAATTAGAAAACTACTAGAAAGGTGTCATGGGGACTTATACGAAAATCTGAAATTTAAATTAAGGGTGTCTAAGCAAAAATGAGAATTCCAAAAGGTTTTAAGTGTAAAAACTGATTCCTTAGGGCTGCCCTAGAAGCTTGCCTATAAAGGCATCATTACTTGATATTCAAGTCAGAAAATTAGAGACAAAAATCCCTAAAAAGCTGAAACGGCTAAGTTCTTGGAGAAAATTCTGAATTACCTGCATTTCTTGTTTGAAAACTGTTCAAATCCTGCTTGTTTGGTGTTTTCTGATTTCATTTGGTTAGAAAAACTTTTTCTGAAAATATCAAAGTCCTGCACCTTGGTTCCAATGGCTTGATTCTGGTTTTCCTAAAGTTTGGTTTTGAGTTTTGCTACTGGGTGATGGACTATAAAATTCTGAGGCATATTCACTAGGTGTGTTAGCCTTAGCCACGGTTAGCAATAGTTCTGATTTTTTTCAAATGGATATAGTTTGCATGTTTCTTTTATCCTGAAACTCTTAGTCTGAGCTAAAAAAAAAG